AAAGAGCTGTTGGCCCCGTCTAATCCTTACCGAGGGGTTGAACCTGTAGGTCGGGGTTGTATTACATGTACAGCCAAGAGATGTGATTGCTGCAAACATTTTCTCACACCGGGCAATTCATTTAGTTCAACCGTGACCGGCAGGTTGTTTAGTATCCGTAAGACCTTGACGTGTACATCCGAGAATGTGGTTTACCTCGCTCAGTGTGTGGCTTGTGGTTTGCAGGGGGTTGGTTCTACTATTAATTTTAAGCCTCGTTTGGCAAACTACAAGTCACATATAAAGCATAACCGTAGAACATGTGGTGTAGTTAATCACTTCATAGATGTGCACGGGAGCGAGCATTTCAATTTGAAATTTATGTTAATTGATAACAACAACGAGGACTTAAGAAAGTGTGAAAACTTTTGGATAGGCACTTTGCTCACTAATCTGGGGGGTTTGAATACCAGCCATGATTATTCCCAACAATAGGTCTGTAGGCTTTGTTTATATTGCTTTTGTTAGAAATATATATATTTTATTTCTTTTTTCTACGCGAGGTAGGGAATCGTTACATCAAATTTAGATAACTAACAGTTCTTAAATGTTCAATACGGTTCGTTCCTTCGTGTTCAGGCAGGTTCTTCTTGTAGTAGTTTTACTAACGTTCACTCATTCCTTTAAATCTTCGTTGTCTTTAGTCTGTCTTCTTTGTTCGTGCTGTTTCGTTTTGAGTTTTCGTAGCTTTTCATAATTTAAGCTTTACTTCGTCTACGTCCACTGACAAATTTGGGTTGTGCGCGCCCTTTTATACTAACGGTTGAGGGATCTTTCTACACGTGATGTAGCAAGTGGTGTGATTTGTATCCAGCCAATCAACGTTGAGGTTTAAAGGTGTGGGTTGGCGTTACTAGCTCGTTCCAGCTCTCACATTCTGTTTATTTAAGGCGTTGTCGCACTGGTCGAGTTGTTTCGCTGTTCAATCGATCATCATTAAAACATGTTCACAACTTAAAATACTCATCAAAATATCATAGTAAAAACTTCAAACTATACCTATGTGAACCTTACTTTACCTACTAAACTAAATTTACTTACAATTTTATTGAACCAAGACCTTGATGACGTAATGTTATCATTACTCAACCGCGCGAAATATACCGAAGAATGATTGACAGAAAGGCCCTAAGCATGCACATTTTCATGTCAAAGAAGAACCAGCCTTGGACTTTGAATTATGTAAACACAACAGCCCACCATGCAAGGCTATCGTCCATCTTTGACAGTTTGACAAATCATTTATCTTGCCTAATGGACAGATAATTGACGCTTTTACACAAGTCCGAAATGATATATACTTTATCTGAGTTTTACAGCAAAAATAATGCTCATTATCTCTCCATTTGACGTAACTAGTATCTATAATTACCTGGGGTGCAAATTGAACTATTTTTATACTATTTTTAATACTTTCGTAACACTTTAATTAGTTTAATCACTTATATTGTTGTATATAAGGAGAGTAATTTACTATATTCATTTACTTTTTGACGAAGGCGGTGGCATGCTGCCGAAAATTTAAAGCTATATATATTTTTTTTTATTAAATAATTTCACTTGGAGTCGTGGCAGTGTTATAACCTGTTTGTATATTATCTATATATTTATCTATGATTTGCCGAGCAGTGTGTGTACACTTATATATATATATATATATATATATATATATATATATATATATATATATATATATATATATATATATATATATATATATATATATATATATACTGAGTAGTTTGAAGAGTGCTCAACACCAATATTAGTAGAGCTTTATAATTGTTGTCTTTTTTACTTAAAATTAATTAAGTCGCAACTCTGAGTTTCACGTTTTCACGATCTTCAGGCGACGATGTATGGAACATACATCGTCGCCTGAAGATCGTGAAAACGTGAAACTCAGAGTTGCGACTTAATTAATTTTAAGTAAAAAAGACAACAATTATATATATATATATATATATATATATATATATATATATATATATATATATATATATATATATATATATATATATATTAAAAATGTTAAAATTGTAACCTGGATTAGACATATTATTAAGATGTAGAATGGTTCACGCTGGTTTGATGAAAACTTTAAAAACTACGTTTATTTAAAAAGATGTTAAGACGTTTCGACCAGTAACTTAGGTCTTCGTCAGTTAAAAAGTTAACTAGGTTCAAAAAGTGAACAATATATATATATATAGGTTCAGAGTTAATTAGCAGATAAGTGTTTCATACACATCCGGTATTTCGATATGGTCGTTTCCTGCGTTATGATCCTTGAGGAAATACCAAGCCTCTAAGAACAGACGTTTGCGGTAGTTTTTTGTTTTGTTGACAATGGTGGCATTACTGAAGTCAATTCGGTGATCGTATTGTTCAGCATGCTTAGCGATTTTTGAGTATTGATCAAATTGCGAAACAGCTCGTTCAGGGGCGGCGCTACAGGGGATGGAACACCCCCCCCCCCCCCCCACTCGTCAGCTAATCGGCAAATTGTTATCTCAGTCGGCAAAACTGGATTGGCTAAGATCTCTGCTAATAGAGGAAAAGCCAAATGGTCAAATTTCTCTTAAATCTCAATTTAAATACATCAGGTAAATCCATACGATCCTGGCATTTGCACAAAAAAGAAAAGGGGAAAATTTATGGTTGTTAAAGATCATAGTGATGACGATAGAATTGTGGTTTGTGTTGAACAGCATGAAAAATATCAATGGGATATGATAAATAGTACTAACATCGTTTCAAATACATGTTTTTATTCGCATGTACTTGCACACTATGCATGCATGTAGTACAGTTTTTAACTTCACAATTTCGGTATTTGTGAAGTAACTCTATAAAGACAGTAACTTTTTACTTTTTATGGGGCTGTAAATGGTGATTTTGAAGCTTTGCATGTAAATGTAATGGACTAAATAATGTAATGAGTGAAACAAGGGAAATTTTACACACAAACTGACACCCATTAATGAGCGGAACCACTGAACATTAACGAGCGAGCTACTGAATTATTTCAAGATCTAGATATGGAGGGCAAAGTTTTTTTATGAATTTATTGGTAAAAAGATGAGGTACCCTACCTAAAAAAAGGCTAAAGGCCCAAAAACTTAACGCTGGTTTACACTACAGAAGTTTCTGTCCGTAATCACAGCAGGAATTTTGCATCGTATTTCAATACGATGATGTGTGAGGAAACTGACTCATTGTTTAACACCATAGTAGTTAAACACTATACCAATAGGAAAGTTAAAGTTGGTTTACCATCATAATTGAGAATTTTGCGTTGAGTCAGGTCATTCGTATGGCAACTATTTTGACCCGGCAAAAGATTGTTCATATGTTGTTGACAATGTTCCAAAAGCTAAAAGTGGAGTTTACTGGATTCAAGCAGAAAAGGGCCCGGTCAAAGTAAGTAAAATAATGGGTGATTTATAATCAGGACATTGTATTTGCTTTGATAAACCAACACGAAATTACAGCTGAATCAAAAGAGTAACAGGAGGAAAACTGTCTCCAATATACTCCTGACATTGCAGGTGCATTTCCATACAGAATGTGTGGCAAAGTGAAATGTGTGCCAGTTAAACATAGGGCTTTTTGCCCATAAAAAACTCATCAGTGAATGACATAAACAGTTCAGTAATTCATTTGTCTAAATCTGTTTTGGGGAACTCATGCGCCGTACCGACGAGAGACTCGATCTTAATTTCATCCCTGCAGTCCCAGGTGAAAAGGTGCTTCCCATTTGCGGATTCCATCAAATAACAGGCGTTTTCTCTGGGTTCTCCATACTGGAGTAACATCGGATCAATTATGAGGGTTGACCCTTACTGGACCTCTAGTAGTGTAGAACTAATAGAAAAATCCAGTAGTCCAGTTTACGTTCCCTCCAATAGTTATACACACTAGTCAAATTAGGGATGACTCTCAATGGACCTCTGAGAAGAACAGTTTATATTTGTTCAGCTTTCCTAAACTGAGATTGATCTTTTTGATTCAGGCATGGTGTGATGTTGATACAGATGCTGGTGGGTTCCTGTTGATTGGTGTCAAAGATACACCTGATCATGAAACCTGGGCTATCCCTTCCAATTCCGCCCTTGTTCGCCCTGAAGGTGTGGCTAGGTGGTCGAGTGCATTCGGCAAGAAGAACGTATTTGATTTTCGTGTGCAGATTTCAACGAGTAAAAATTTTCGTGATACTCGCGAACATTGGTATGTAACGTATTGTTGTTGTTGACATGTTGCTATTGTTCTTAATTGCTGTTGGTGCTGCTATTGCTCTTGTTATTGTTTTGTTGCTGTTACAATTGTTGTTGTTGTTACTATTGTTGTTGTTGTATTCTTTGCTGCTGTTGTTTTGATTGTTGTTGTTGTTGTTGTTGTTGTTGTTGTTGTTCGCATTTCAAGCGAACAGTGTAAAATAATACTCCACTTTAGCTATTACCGCTTCAAATCCACACCCATTCTTTCCAACTTACTGATGTCCGATGAAGGAGGATGCAGTCATCGATACCCAGGGATTGGGAACATTGCCTACGTTAAAGATCTTATGACTAGAAAGATGGCAACAAGGACGTTCAATTGTTCGCGATTTGGAGCTTCAATGGCACCTGAACTGGGATCGGTAATGTCACCTATCCTACTTTAATACCTTTGATCCACTAGATTTTAATTTATTCTACCTTGCAGAGTTCTTCATTTTCCATCATTTTCATTCCATCAGGATAAAATGAACAGATGTTTCAAAGGATCATGCAATCACCAATTGGTTTTGCATATCTTCCTGGTTATCATATCGACACATCAGGCACGTACAGGTAATTATTATGCTATGGTTTGAATTAGGTCATGCAGGTACAGTGTCATGTCTGGACGTTCAGGCATACAGGACAGTCAAACTTCATTCATTGGATGTGATCATGGAAAGATAAAGTACATCTAAAATATAAACGAGAAAACATATGATTCGGGCGACAGAATTGTATTGGAAATTGGCACACTTTTTGTCCCTTGATCATATGATTTAACAGTGATTCAATCTATATTGGTAAAATATCAACCTTAATAATTTTAATTTGCTAGCAAGGAGCCCTAGGCAAAATTTTATCATTAGTCTCAGTTTTTAAACGTTTTATATCAAACACAACATTGCATTCAGTCAGTTTGTTTATGGCCATTCGACTGGGCCTTGTTCGCCATTTTTGGGTATTAAACCGCAGAAACTTTTTGCATGTCTCCTAATGGTCCATAATAAAATATTTCCCGATTCAGCAAAAACCTAGGTATATAATGCGATGTTACGATTTTACAGTGCTGTGCATGTTTTGGTCCTGACAGTAAGCAGGATTACTGCGCACCAAAATGTCAAGCAATCAATGGGGGAACTGTTTTAAGAGAAAAGGACAATATCACAGTTTGGTTTTGGATCCGTTTATCTTTACCGAAACGTGTTTGGAAAAAATACATGGAGTTTAAAGAAAAGAACGGTGCTGGAAAAATGGAAACATGGCGTGTCGAGAATGGAATAAGGAGAAAGGTATGGTAGAACGAAACTAGAAATCTACAGGTAGGTAAGTGGGGGGTGGGGGAGGTGGCAGTGAGATCCATATTTATCCGAAGCAAGAACGTCAGTCAGGAAGAAGTTATTTCGCTGACCTCAAAATGACATTTTGTCAAATAAATTTTCTTCAAGATTGGTTTAGAAACAAACTTGGAGTAGGGTTAGGTTAGTGTTAGGATTATGGTTTCGGTTAGAATTAGCTATAGTGTTTGGAATAGAGCTAGTGTTGCTAAAACTGTTGCTTTGCGACGTTTTGTCACTCTGAGGTCAGCGAAATGACCTGTTCCGTCAGTCATTCATGGCGGCCATTGACGTCCAATAGCTCTGAAGGTCGTAAACAGCTTTTATACAATCCCCCCTGCTAATTCCAGTTTTTAACGGACCGTATCGCTAACCAAGTTATCAGTTCATAAAACCATAGTGTTATTCTTTACATCGATGTCAAAATACGAAATTGCCATGATGGCGGAAATTGAATGAGCTATTGGACGTCAGTTCCAGTCCCTTTCTATTGTTTTTGTCTGCGCGGTTAACGTTTTGGACTCGAGTTCTCGCTCCAGATCTACACGGAGCTCACTGGGGTGTCCTCGGCCTAGTCCCAGGCTCTCTCTCTAATCGCTGCTTTGAGATATGCCTGGGTGTGCTGTGCGGAACGCTTCATGAGCGAGAGAGCCTTGCAGATTTCGGTAAAAGTCGTAAAATGGTCCCTGATTTAAAAAAGTGGTCCCTGGCCTGGTTACCAAGCATGCCGCATTTGTAAATAGAAAATGTTATGGAAATTTTCTTTGCGTTTATAATTAAGTCATTAATTTTGCTCTAATGCTGTCGGAACAATGAAGTAGGCTAGATTTCGCTTTCATATGGTCAGAATGGAATAACGGGCTAAATATGACTCGTGTTTACTAAATATAAAGCCATATTAAATGCTATCTAGAAGCTTGAAAATTATGCTGAGTTTCCGACTAAAAATGTTTTGACAACACAGTCATGTCAGGCAAATATTTCCAATCTCCTCAGCTACTTAAACCTGTCAAGTAGAAAACGTAGTTGTGTATACCAGTATGGTCTGGTGTTGATCACAACTTGCGAGTATATAAATAACATCAACGATTATACGACCATATTGCTCAGACTCAGTATCGTAAATTTTTATATAAATTTTTTTAATTGAGCACATTTTTAATACAGTATGAATTTGGTTATATAGACATCGAACATGATCAACGAACATTGTCGTATTTACAAAGTTATTTGTATATATAAATTTTCCGCCATAATAAAAATACTGAATTCTGCTAGGCGTTCTGAAGCACCTTTAGCGGTGACGTCACACCTAGGTCCCAGTCTCGTACTACATCCACGTTTTTTCTCGCGCTTGCTTCAGAACGACTGGGACTAGGCTGGGGGTGTGCTATTATACATCCTTATTTGCAGCTGAGAACTAAGCTGAATTGCGAAGAATGCAGCTCAGCCTGATCGACTCGAAAGCTTTCTAAGGGTGCCTCTGGCAGCCACCTTATGACCCAAGTCTGATAATGGAGCACAGCTACGGTGGAAGGGTCAGTTTAGGTGGGCTTCTACACGTTTTAAAATACAGTTTAAGAATTAAGACAACGTATATATTCACCAGACTGGTGCAAAATCTGAAACAAAACCATATGAGGTTCCCTTTATAAGACATTTGTCTATATAATTGTTCATATGTATTAGTTATTTAGGGTCCATGTTCAGTTCCTGAAGATGTCACAATTAATGATGGGGTAAGCTATAAAAAGTCATTAAATAAGTTTTTTATGTATTATATCAAATTATTTCCCCTGCTTAGCAGAAAATCTGAGCCAAACTGCATTTTCTCTGTGCTTAGAATAATTCTTCTTGTGGTATCACAACATCAAACAACATCACTGCACGATTTTGTTGATTTTTATACAGGTTGCAGTAGTCCCTAACAATCAATCAATGAACAAACTTCCAAAAGTGGAAGATCTTCTTTTCTATCTTTCTGATAAGAAGAAGCTGTATATCAAAGAACAATCTCAGTGGACAGCATTGGCTAATCAGAAAGAAGTACGTTTTACCCCCAGTTTTACTGCGGATATTACTTTTCAAAATGTAAACGTAAAATTTCCCTCACCCGCCTCAACTCCTCGACATTTTAAAACTGCCAGCTGCGCAGACAGGCATTTACTTGACGTACTTGATTTGTGGAATATAATAGCTAAAATACGACAAAATTTTTGTGACTTATGAATTGCGGAACAAAAGAGTCCGCTCAGAACGCAGGAAATCGCATTTCCGAGGTCCTAGATTTCAAAATTTCCCGGGGGAGGATACCCCGGACCCCTTACAAATGCGAGATTTAATGTATGCATCAGTCAGCTCAGGAGCTGGATCCGCCCCTGGCATAGTCTAATAAGGCTATATGTCTGATACAAACATATTGAGCTATAAATTCTACGCTGTAAGTGTAAAGTGGCCAACGCTCGACTCAAATTTTGCTATTTTATCTCCTAGTATGTGTTCTTGTCCCTTAAAGATATAGACAAACATTTCATATATATGTGGCGTTCGGAAATATTTGAGATTTTGCGATTTGGGCCGTCACATAAGGCTAAAAATATGCCTAGAAAGTGACTTTCGTTGCACACATCGGGAGGCTAATAATTTCTTTCATAAAGTAGTAGAAGAGCATGCCAAATGAAATAATAAAAAAAGCCCCCGTTCATAAGTTTGCACAACAACGAGAAATCGACTATATTCTGGTGATGACGTCATCTATAGTTCCGAAAGGTTAAAATGTTCGAATTTCGATAAATGTTTAATGCCATCAGATTGAGGTGCATAATTGGACAAAAAAACTATATTACACTGAAAACTTTCAGTCGTTCGTTACAAAGATATCACATTCCAAAGTTTAAAAAAAATGCTGAGTCAGCATTTTTGTTTCTCCAGTAAAGCTTATATTGACAGACTGTATGCAGGGAAAGGGCTTATTTTGCACTAGTACCTTAAATTGTGCATTACAGTGTGTGAATTAAAGTGGTTATGCAAGCCACAAAACTAAAATGCGACTAAAAAATTCAAATTGTTTACCCGTCATCTAAAGCCTTTGAAAGAAACCTAGAAGATGAAATCTGTTGCACATGTCGCCAGACTAACTAATTTCACCATGATCAGACAATTCTTTTGAAGTAGTTCTGATATTGCATGGTTATATTTTACCAATGCAAGCTGCACACAAGCAAGCCATGGTTTATTATTACTCAACAGGCACATTACTGAACAGGCAATATCACTGAACATCGAAAATCTGCTATTAATTCCACTCTGTAGAATATCTTCTTTAAAACAAATTCATTTAGCTAGTAAAGTTATTCATTCAGCTACAGGCAGCCAAGGGTCCATAAGCCACTTCACAGTGCCTAGCTTTTTCTTAAGCAATATAGAAGCATGATACAGAATTTGTAATTCGATATTCAATATGGACTGTGTAGCACTGTGATTATCATCATATCCCATGTTGTACAAAACCATTGAAGTTGTTTCACATGATCTGTCTTCCTGTATCCTGTCTATACAAATCGTTAGTATAATTCTTGTATCACTTATTATGGTCCTTAACATCAATGGCAACACAATCTTTTCCACAATTTTTAAATAGATCCTGTAGTTGTCTTTTTTCTTTGTGCCAGCTTCGCGCAATAGACCTGCATCTGAAGTCTCACACGCAACAAGGGTTATTCTTCACAGCTAATAATTTTGGAATAAATATTATTCAGGTAATCATTTTGCTACGTGATCGCTGTACCATTTACTAGCAACTGTATAATGATTTCCTTCAATGATAAATATACCATATTGGTCCATATAATTACAATGTAAGACATACCATGACAAACAAATCGGATTGTTTCTCGCATATTATGCATACTTGGGGCAAAACATTTGGAGATCTATCCTTCATTTCACTATTTTGGGGACCATCATATTGTCAAGTGACGAATGTGAAAGCTTCTTTGGTGGAACAGTCTGCAACTTCACAGCCAATTAAGATTTCACTGCCTCATGTTCTCTTTTCCTCCACTTTTTGCAACTTGTTTTAATCACAAAGTCTTTTATAGCACTTCTCATGGTAGTGCCAGTCGAGTTCATGAGGTCCCCATTTAATTTTTATGTGGGGCCTTATTTTTTCAAAATTATGTTGGGGGTGGGAAAGAAAAAAAATTTTCAAACTATATTTCTTAAAAATAACAAATTTTTCCCTACCTATGTCTACTATAAAGGGGGGGGGGGCGAATTTCACAATTTCACCAATTCCTGCTTTTGGGGGCCACCTGTTGCAAATTTTCTGACCCTATAAAACTGAGGCTCAGGCCAATTTTGCCGATGTTCTAGCAAAATGTTTATGGTCATTTTTTGTTGGGGGAGGAGGGGGGGGAGTCATGGTAGCTGCCGCGTCTGAGCACCCAAATACCCTTCGAGTTCCCCACAGCAGTTAGAGCATGAAAAATGCTTTTCTACTTTGGGCTATCTATTTAATATCCACATCCCCTTCCTATAGATAAGGTCAGTAAAATTTTAACTCCCAAGAAAAAAAAGATCAAAGTGCTGACAGCCTGACACAAAACCCCCTCAGATATTTGTAAATTTTCCCTTACCTCTCAAAACAATAAAAAACATCAAAGTATGCCGTCAGGCTTAACTGCACAAAAACGACTTTGGGGTCACCTTCAGAAAAATTTATCCAAAGAGGACGGGGGGGGGGGG